GCTATCCAAATAGACTATTGTTGCAGCGAATTTGAAACGCCTGAAAAACCTCAACACTATAGCGGGCACGGGCCGCTGTCACCAAAAACGCTCAGGCCACTAAGCTTCAAGCATTCTCGCCATCATCCTCCACAACACTGCTAGACGGTTCAACCACCAATTTCTTGCGCGCAATCTCTTCTCTTTTCTTACAACGTTCGACTCGTCTCCAGTTACGATCTGTGAGACCCTGGTACCCAGCTTGCCATTCTTTTGCAGTGTTTTGTAGCGTGAAAAACCAGCCAGGAGGCTGCTTGAAATGCTGCGTCCACAACTTCAAGATATCACCAGATGGCTGCATCAAGAGGTTGATATCCATAGCTCCGTCAATAACAAGAGTCTTATAAAGCTCGTTAATGTCCTCTCCAACTGTAGGAAATTTTAACTTAAGGTAGTTAAAGAAATTACTAGTATGCTCGTTAATCTCCTGCTCATGATCATATCGGATAGGCGCCCACTGAGATGCACTAGATACCTCAGCTCTTGTTATCGTTGGTGCAGCTGCCTGCAAGTTAGACTCCTGTTGAGGTTGCCTGTTCATCCGCTCAAGCTGTCCAACGATGAGCAGTTTTGTTAAGCTTTTGATATCATCGTCGCCATCTCCAGCCGCCCGCAACTTGCGCGTTTTCTCATGCACCCGCAGGTCCTTTGCTCTCAAAATTGCAAGCCGTACATCATCAGATGGCTCATCGTACGTTGCCCTTCTCGCTGTAATTGCTCTTGCCCACATGGAGATAATGTTGCCGTTGACAAAGAGGTGACCTTCGAAGCGCGCTGGCTGCCTCGCTGTTGGCGCCATCCAGCAGCAATAAGGATAGTTCTCGCAATGGGTATCTGTACAGCGCCATCTATCCCGGATAGCAATAGCATGCCCGCTACCTGCTTGTTCAGCTGCTATTACACCAGCAAGCCCCTCCTCTTGAATCACCGTTGCGGTGCGTCGACGAGGACCGTCGACAACCGTTGGCAACGGCTGCTGCTCCCCTGGAATTTCAGCCAAGATGAGCTCGAAATCGACGTTTACTGGCTCGCTGACATAGTTATCAACCTCTACAACAAGGCGCTGAAAGCTATTCCACGTTGCATCAACACCTCGCCGCAATCGCTTTATCGCGCGCTCGCGTTTGGCCTGCTTAGCTGGGTAAACAACAGTGCAAACAGATGAGATCTTCGCTCTTTTTGGCCGTAATTCTGCAACAACGTCATCTACCCACTGCCATAGGTCGTCGAAATGCAGCGAGTACAGCCGTACGCCGTGCTCGCTATCGGCAGCTTCAGGAATAAAGTGTTTCTCCATATCACCACCAAGGCAAGCCCTCCACCTAACGCGCAGTACAGGATTAACCTCATCCTCTAGCGCTTGCGATGAGCGAGGCAGCCATGGAGTGCCTTCTTGACGTCGGTACGCTGGCTCTCCCTCATCCTCAACACTACCGGCAGCGCCCTTAGCAGCGATCTCATCCTCATCCTCAGGCAGCGGATCGCCATCTCCATCCTCGAAAGTATCCTCATCCTCGCCAACGATATCTTCAGCTTGCGCGGAGGCAGCTGTTTGGGTGGCTTGCAGCTCAGGCTCGGACAACGGGCTTTGACGGCGCGGCGGGGCAGTCGCTGGAGGCGACGGCAGCGCCTCACGGCGGACACGTTTAGGCGTTAAATGGGTAGGATTTTGTCTAGTTGCTGGCGCTCTACGCTTCTGGGAGGACGGGTTAACGCCTTGATCGAATGGCTGCTTCGGCTTACGCTGGCGCTTGGGCGGCATCCCAACAGCAGCTAGATTGAGCTCGCAACAAGCTCCACACAAACAAAACGCTATACACGAACGATTTAGAGTACAGGACTAGCTTCATGGGCTTCTGGAGGTGGGAAACGGCTGCTGCATTAATTTACTAACAAATTACTATGGGAGTTGATGTTCTTGGGCACCAAGCTAACCAGATCTAGGCGGCTCAAGGTATTTCGAAAACCACAATAAAATCACGACGCGCTGCCGCACAATCACCGTCCCAGCAAAATTCAGATAGTAAAAATTAATCGCATGATATTGTTCACTGTCACTCTGCAATATCTCAATCTCGTGATAATAGCCATTATAGGTGGGTGCGCAGCCTCATGTTGGTGGAGGCTGCGATAGTGATGGGGTGCGCATTACGCGGTCGTGGTACCGGTACTAGCCTCTTGGCATTGTTTCAGATATACCCGCAACGGCAGGTACACAGACTTTATCTTTCCTACTTCTCAAATCCGCGTCCGCAACTATCAGTTTTCACACAGTCACGGTCGAATGTTTTCTTTGCGACATTGAACGGCGTCATGGATACATTACCACAGGAGCTCATCAACAAAATCGTCTTGTATCTAGAGCGCTATCCTGGTCAGGAACAGGCCCCGATACTTGAACAGTGCGGACACCATTCTAAGCTCCCACAGTATGCGACTATTTCTAGCCATTGGAAAGAGGCTGTGGAATTCGTCACATTTCATCGTTTGCACATCAAGAGTCATGAGCTGAGTCAGCTCGAGGCCATGGTGACCGGCAATCGTATCAAATACCTAACGAGACTTTCCTTCGAGATTATACTCGCAGAGTACTCAGAAGAAAGCTGCGGACGTGTTGAGTCAACAGAAGAACAACAATGCAATGATGAAGCCTTCACCCAAGCTATCGCAGACTTGTTCTCTCTAGTGAGAAAGTGGGAAGATGCAGGCCTAGTACATGGTTTGCGACTACAACTAAGGGATGTGTGTTCCCCGACCGACTGTCGCGACCGCAACCAAATCGACCTTGAAATGTCACAGCGCAAGCGTGGGATAGACATTTTCGAAAAGCGATGGGTGAACTCCTATATCCATCTCTCCAGACCGGAAATGATACCCACGCTCTCGAGCATCGTACATTTCCACCTTCAAGGCCACGTTTCGCGGAAGGTGGCCCTTGTAGTCGGACCTGGTCTAGCTGCAGTTCTACCCAACCTACAGAGTTTCTACTGGGAATTCGGAGAGGTAGATGACAAGTCCATCAACGTGGAAAGCAGGGCCTCCTTCGCGAGGGTGCTCGAGCAGACTAAGCTCGACAAATGCTCTGCGGCTGAAATCACCTTCCATCAAGACCCTGTAGAGGACCATCGCGTGGCTGAACCTTCGCGTATACCAATAGGCGCACTCTACGATCCGTTCAGCGCATCTCTGCGTATCTTTTCGCAGAACCTGACTTCCCTTATTCTGGACGGCTTTGTTGACTCGACTCTGTTCTGGCCTTCAAGCCATGAGATAAGCTCCATACCCAGCTGGCCAAACCTCAGGAAGCTGATAGTCTTATTCAACATGGCCGCCCCGTCTAGCGAGTGGTACTTTGACGGAACACCAGGCGAGATCGTGGAACAATTTCGCGACCATGAAGATGCAAAGATATTAGATCCGCTCGTCACGGCTTTCGCAAAGGCGGTCCAAAAGATGCCGCTCCTCGAACAGTTCCTGCTCGAAACGGAGCTTGGCCACGATATAGGCTACTGGGATATATCGTACCATGCGCCTGGAATCAAAGCGGACTGGGACGAAAACGAAGATGATGCTAAGGTGCGACGGGTCTACTATTCCGTCGGGGAAGTATGGAGGCCAGATGACTTCATCGCAGAAGCTTTTCGACGCATCGGACGGGATAGTCATGGGCCGGAGCTGATTGAAAGGTTTCACGAGCTCAGGACTTGGCCGCTTGAGTCTCCTTGGAGCTGGTTTTGACCTATGTAATGAACCTATCTGCGCTTTTACAAATGACTATGCAGTCTTGATACCTCTTGCCGAACCATTGACCGCCACAACGACCCTGTGTGTGTCGCTGCTGTAACGGGCTGAGCCCTAGGTCACATGACTAGGCCGCTGGCCTAGTCGCTTCCTTCCTTCTATCACTCCTTCCCCCAGCAGCCCGTGCACCAACCCAAACAAAGCGGGATGGCCGCCCACTTTCCTCTTCTTCTCTTCATCTCGACTGTAAATAGCATCTGGATTAGGTAGCTGGAATACAGTGCCTACAGACCGTTCACACTCTATAGCACGTTTAAGTGTTTCTCGTTGCCCTCTACGCCGAAAATGCCGCTTCGTAACCTAAAACGCGTCGCCGAGGGCACTCGCGGCCCCCGCGGCCCCTATAAGCGCGTCAAAACAGCTAAAGGCAGTGCCTCGCTGCCTATCCGCACCTCGCCACGTAAAGCCCTAGTTGCTGCAGCAAGCTAGGCTACTGAAGACGCGCCGTTCGAGTCGCAGTTGCGCGACGCCATACCAGAAGCTACTATACAACCGCTGGCCGAGGGTAGTAGGGCTGCTACGGAGGCTACAAGTGAGGCTATTAAAAGCGGGGATAATAGTGGCTTTAATGATGAGTTCACGGACAACTTTAACGGCATTAATTAGAAGCGTTTACCGCGTTTTACGAAGCTGCTGCGTACGTTAAAGCGCAACAAAAGCTAGGTATATTAGTACGGTTACCGCGTTACCTCTCTCCGTGAGCCTTATCGTACGTTCTTTGTTTGCAAATACTGCTATAATCGTAAGATCTTTTGCACCTATCTAGAGGTTACAAAGTTAACTAGTAACGCCATTAATTACCTCGCGCAGAAGCTACTTAACTACGGCTACGATCGCAAAGGTAAACTAGATTCGATTACACTACTACGAGGCTAAACGACGCTTAAGATGATGACTAAGGGCAGTGTTAATATACCTTAAGGTATTACTAACGAGCTCAGCAACTTCGACGTACAGCGCTTTCGATACGCCGCTGTTACGTAGCTTGTCGACAATAACCACCCGCTCCGCGAGTTCAAAACGCCTGCTTTTAAGTAGATAATAGAGTTTGCTAACCTAGAGGCTGCTAACGCGCTGTGGGTAAGTCACAACAGTGTAGCTAGCTTCGTGATGAGGCTGTATCGCTATATAGAACCGCAGGTTGTTTAGATGCTCTCGTCGGCTATTAGTAAGATCTATGTAAGCTTCGACGGCTAGACAACAAAAGGCGGCAAGCGCGGCTTCTTTGGAGTTGTTGCTCATTTTGCTGACGCCGACGGCACTATCAGGGACCTGCCTATCGCGCTGCCTCAGCTTACGGGCGCCCACACGGGCGAGAGGATAGCTAAAGTTGTTAGCAATATAATCGATGTCTTTAGTATAACACGTAGCCAGCTTAGGTACTTTGTGCTCAACAACGCGTACGCTAACGACACTGCCGTCACTAAACTCGCCTAGCGCTTTAAATTCACAGCAAGCTATCACCGCCTCCGCTGTAGCCCTCACACACTTAACTTAGTAGGGCAGATGATTATCTTCGGCTTTAATAAGGACGCGAACGACAATGATCAGGACGAGCACAAAACAGAGGCAGCCTACCTACAAGAATGGCGGCAGCAAGGTCCGCTTAGTGTACTAATCGATATTATCAACTACATCCAAACCCCGCAATAACACGATCTGTTTGCTAATTGCTAGCGCTGTGTTAACGCTAAGTGTCACGGTTTGGGGTCTCTCCTGCTCTGCTCCTGTAGTCGCAACTTACCTTTGTAATGGACCGATGCCTATCTGGGACTAGCGCTGTTGATGGTCACCCACCTACATATACAGTTTGTAGACTTAGACAATACAACCTTAGTTCAATCCTTCAATTCTTCCAGCACCCACAATCCCCCACACCTTCAACAACTGTACCTTTGAGGGCTAGACTATAACAGTTATCTCTTCTCTAGTCTACTTGCGGATTAGATAATTGCGATATTATTCCTCCGCCTATAAACCCTTTAGCATATAGAGGACAACTATCAACGTGGTTTATAATCAAGTGGCTTATCTAACTAAGTGGCTTAACCCTAGCTAAGGCGACTACGTCAACACTATTACACACCATAATAACTCAAACTTGACACAGAGCAGCTTGGATCCCGGGAATCACGGATAGACGTCTTCTGGATAAGGCCCAGCCATTGGCAGTAGGATGCAGGTGCTGACATAGACTTTCTATGGCACTAATGAAATCTATTCTTGCTATGTGATGGCCTTTTTTTGAATGCAAACCCTGGACAGCACCATATCACCCAATGATCAAAACATGGTCCTCTCTGGCTTGCCGCCATACACAGTGCATTAATATGATATGCTATTCTTGACTATGTAGAGTTACAGTGCTACTTTCTTCATCTGTCTATGCAGGACGTAGCATACTTGATGCTTAGCTTTTGGCGCTGATTGTGGAACTATCCAAACAGTGTTGACTAGCAATAGGGCATGCTTCGACATAGTTCACCCCAATCAAAGGTATCGCTTATTACTACCGTGATTTAGCGCTTTATGGTGGATCGGAAAGTCGTTTCTTCTCTCTGCTCGCTTGTGGGCAGCCTGGCTAACATTGTCCTGTTGCCAAAGATCTGCACAATCCTCTGGTTGATGATAACAAAGCCAGCACGGTTAAGATTTGCTGCTAGAGCAACGTAGCCAACAGAAGCTTCTACCAGTGGTAAGAAGCGCATCACATTATAGACTGCTTGAATAGTTGACAGGGACGAGCAGAATTCGAAAGGGGGAAAAGCAAGAGAGCTGAAGAAAGCAGCGAGGGCATTGGTGTGAAGGAGTATAACGCATGTCAGCACATTAATAGGACCACGCTGGTTGTCGATGGGCGACAAAGATTGACAATTCGGGCAGGTCCAGCCATGTCTGCGCCGACTATTATGGGTAATATACCAGTAGCTGCAGGTGGAGTTCAGGTACGACTATACAACGATGGCTATAGAAGGGAGGACTAAGGCGTTGTGTAGTGAAGGCATCCTGGTCCCCAAAAGACAAGCTCCGAAGGGTTAAAACTAGCGATCTATAAATAGCGATGGAGGAATAGCGGACGGATTCTTCTACGTGCGTTGAGTCTCTGTTCCGTGTATCTCCAAACCTTCTATTCTATTCAAGCCAATAGTGCAAGCATAGTGACAGTACTTAAGATCTTTGGCGGGCTCTGGATAGGCTCCAGTAGTTCTGTGGAGCGACCCCGGTCGTGTTCCGGAGTGACTTCGGTGGTTTATTCGGAGCGACTCCGGGTAGTCATCTAAGTATATAGAGCAACTCTACGGAGGAGAACAAAAAGAGGGTGTGTGCCGCGATGAGATTGATATATAAAGAGAGAAAATTGTCCTCAAGTTGAATAGACACAGTTCACAACTCCAACTGTTTACAACACTCTTTCCACCATAATCAACTACACCTATTCACGTTCCTCAACAAACATCTTTAATACAAACATGTTCGCCCTCAACGTCCTCGTCGGCCTTCTCGCCGCCGCCACCGTCTCCTCCTCGCCTATTGCCGAGGACACTGCCCTCGCAGCCCGCCAGACCACCTGGACATGCCCTGACATCGGCAAAAGCACTTGGGGCGGCGCACCGTTGATCACCGCACCTGACGCCAAGAACAGCCGCTGCTGCGTAACGGGATGGTCCTATGTGTGGGGCGAGGGGCGCGAGATCTGCTGCCGCAACGACCCGGCCCTGCTCGAGGATCCGACTTACAAGTACGCGCTGCCCTGCACCAGCGAGTTTTGGACTTCGGGAGGCCCTAAGATTGCCCTGCTGCGGAGTTGCAACATCGAGGACCCCAAGAACTTCCGCTGCAGCGCCGAATGTGACGGCGTCCCCTGGTTGTACCCTACCACCAAGCCCTGCCCGGCCAAGAACTAAGGGATTCCGCCTGCCGACGACCGCCATCCTCGGCTGTACCGCGATGCTAGGACTTTTCTGGTTAAGAAATAGGGTGCTATGGTAGCTTTCGAAGTGTTGTTGTGTTGGCTTCTTTGTTTAATCTTGGATTTGTACATACAGCTTGTCAGGAGGGGTCGAATAGTTTAAGGAGAAAATACATCTGTTGCGGTGCGAATTTACTGGTCCCTTCTCGACGTATACTGTGCAAACCTGCGTTTTTTGTTGATTTGAGAAATACTCCTAATTCGGCAAACTAGCAACCATCATATTAGCCAACAAAAACAACCCCTGTCCGTGACTCTTGGTCGGAACTTGGCACAAAGCTCGGCTGAGCGGCGCGTCCCGGCACAGAAACTGATAGCCCGAGTCTGGAAGAAATGGAATGTACAACTCAATGTCGCGATCACTAGCTTCATAATTAGCTTGATTGCAACGAAAGACAATTCCAAAAACAGAAGAAACGAAAGAGGATCGTCGCTCAAACCCCGTGGGGATTCTATCCACCCGGTTGACTCGTATTTCGCTTAGGACGACTGATCCCCCGCAAACCGCGGCCCGTGAACTCGTGTGCGCAGCGCCTGATAAGATAAATGCATGTAATATGAGTCCACCCCTCCTCACTTATCACGTCTCCAGCCGGCCCAGTCCTGAAAAACACCACCCCGATTAATGAAGATAGGCGCCGAAACTGGTACACAGCCCCGAAAGAGCCTCTAGGCCAAGAAGGATGAACAGCCAACGAAAATGTTGCGGAATAAAGCGACGAAGCAGCGGGAGTAGAAGGCGCGTTCTCAAGCCTGCGCCCCCTTTTAAGTAGGGCCGGGTGCGGCGTGGCAAAGGCGAGGCTGAAAGCCTAGCCGAAGCTCTAAGTACTTACAGACTTAGAAGTCCCCCGGCCGAGGTCGCAACACGAGCCTTCTTAAGTAATATAACCGGCAGAGGAAGCATAGCTACGCCTCCTTCAAGAGTACAGCACCGACAAGATCTAGGCTAGCTACGCCCTTAATGAATAGTTCCGAATTCACATCTCCTTCTTAACCGGGCCTGACTCTACTTATAATCTTTTCCACGGAAATATATCGCTTGATCCACTCCTATATGTCCGACTAGCTGATGTGGCTCTACAGATTGATTTTTGTTGAGCACAGAAAGAGATCGCAGACACCATGAGATCGTCCCTTCTTGGTTGTCATGACCAGAAACAAAACGCATTAAGTACGGGGCCAGTTGCAATCATGATGCGACAACGTCAACAGAAGCTTTCGTTTTCCTTAAAGTCGTCAATCAAGGTACAACATAAGCCTTCCACCGATTTGGTATTAAACTTAGTAGGAATAGCTGCTGCACATTGCATGTACAATATGATCTTTATGACGTACGCTACGGCATAATGCGCGATGCGGTGTAATGCGTAGTTCGGCGCAATGCGTGGAAGCATTATTCAGCCCTGTATAGGATTAAGTTGGAACCTTGTTTATTTGAAGGCTTAAGGGTTTTGAAACATGTGTTTCGCGCATAAAGGCACGTGACGCTAGACACAGTGGAATTCTGTTGTTGTTCCCCGCCAAGCACTAGCCAAGGCCGAGTTAGCGCACGTCACCTGTGAACGCCTGACATGCCGTTTCAACTTGTGTAGCGCCTCATGCTGTTCTAGTATTCTCTCCGCAAAACACACTCCACGATGTTGGCGTACAATGCGGACTTGGCACGCATGTTCTGGGCACTATCGTTCTCTCTGCGATGCACACATGTTTTGATGCGCAATAGCAACTACACAAGAGCGACTCAATGTATAAAGACGAACCCTAATGCCGTGGTTAGAACAGCATCAAAGCATCACATCTTCTCTTCACACCACCTCTTCTTCACTTCTTATCTGTTGATCCAGATACCATTTTTTCCATCGGATACTTGACGTGTCCACTTTAGAACCCCTTTCAAACCAACTCTTCCATCGACTCTTCCAACATCTCTTCCACCGACAACTAACATGCGCTACACTACCGCTACCGCTTTCGCCGCCATGATGGGCATGTCTGCCCTTCATGCTGCACCTGTTGGTCCCAACCACCCGTCTGGTGCGGATCATCTCGGCATGCCTATGGTTTATGACGACAGCATATTCCAAGAGAAGACGGTCTCTCGGCTTCACTCACGCACACCCGATCATTTCAAAACCAACGATTACAGGCTCGGATCTGCGGCGAGCGAGGAGGCAAGGCGTCGTTTCCCCAATCTTCCTACGGTGAATGGCAAACGCGAGACAGGTGGCCGCCGCATTGGTAAAGCCCCTGAGCCTGTCGCTTGTAAGAACTGTTGGCATGATGGGACATTCACTACCTACTACACCAAGAAGCGCGAGGCAAGCCCTCAACGTGGTCGCGGAGCCGTAAATGCCGTCAAGGGCATTGGTGGTGCCCTTGGTTTTCTCAGTGATGGACTCACAATCCACAATGCTGTTACCCAGAAGCGCGAGGCAAGCCCCCAGCGTGGCCGCGGTGCCGTGAATGCTATCAAGGGCATTGGTGGTGCCCTTGGTTTTCTCAGTGATGGACTCACAATCCACAATGCTGTTACCCAGAAGCGCGAGGCAAGCCCCCAGCGTGGCCGCGGTGCCGTGAATGCTATCAAGGGCATTGGTGGTGCCCTTGGTTTTCTCAGTGATGGACTCACAATCCACAATGCTGTTACCCAGAAGCGCGAGGCAAGCCCCCAGCGTGGCCGCGGTGCCGTGAATGCTATCAAGGGCATTGGTGGTGCCCTTGGTTTTCTCAGTGATGGACTCACAATCCACAATGCTGTTACCCAGAAGCGCGAAGCAAGCTTCCAGCGTACCCACCCCGGCAACACTTACGAAAACATGCCTGGCCTTGACACGGTCGAACCCAACGCCATTCAGCAGAAGCGCGAGAACCTACAAAATGTTGCCACAATCGATCCTAACGCCATCGCTTCCCTGCACAATAACGGCATTCCCCAGAAGCGTGAGGCTAGCCCTTCCCGTATCCCCATTGGCGACCATACACCTGGATATACGATCAACTTCCCTGACGCGGGTAAGGATTACAGCATAGGAAAGCGTGAGGCTAGCCCTAACCGTGGTGACGATAACCCTATATCCGGACATCTGGCTACCGACCCCAGCTACCTAAAGAAAGAGAACACCAAATCTATCCACGAGACGCGCGACGCAAGCCGTTTCTATGGCGAGCAAATAGGCGGAACTGCCGAAACTGATCTCGCTAAGGTCTATCAGATGCTCCGAGAAGACCGCTCAAGACACGAATCTATCCACCAGACGCGCGACGCCAGCCCTCAAGGTTATGCCGAAACTGCCGCTGATCAGACCCTGCGCCAGCTTGGGTTCGAGAAAGTGCACAGCAAATCTACCCACGAGACGCGCGACGCCAGCCGCGACGGCGGCCATTTCTCTAACAAGCCTTTGGGCGGAATTCCCGAAACTGATTGGGATAAGGTCAACGAGATGCGCCAAGCCAGCCGCCCAAGAGACAAATCTATCCACCAGACGCGCGAGGCTGCCCTTGACACTACCCTGGAGACTGATCAGCTCGTCCATCCTGGCTGGATCGACCACAAGCCCGTATCTTCACTTCTCCAGACACGCGAGGCTGCCCATGACAGTGATAAGATTGTGGTTGTTCATCCCGATATCTTCGCCTCGCCTCTGCCCCAGGCTACCCCCAGCTTTCCTTTTCCCGGAGATAATACCGGAACCTTCCGTGGCCTGAAGCGCGAGGCTGAAGCTCAGCGTAGCCAGCTAAAGGGCCAGCCCAAGCTGCCCGAGGCTATCGGCGCCGGTATGCCCACAGATGGCACCGCCCCCGTTAATCTCCTAAAGCGCGAGGCTGAAGCTCAGCGCAACAACGGTGGCATGCCTTACACAAACCTCGGCGGAGAGTTGGGCATAAACGACAGATTCGGTCGCAATACCCTTAACGAGCGCGAGGCTGAGCCTAAGAACAAGCTAACGGCGCCTTCCATGACTACCGACGCCGAGGTAGATCCCTTGATCATCGGATACCAGAAGCGCGAGGCTGAAGCTCAGCGCAACAGCAGGATCATTGGGAACACGCCGACTTCAAAGTGCCCTGGTTACACTTGCGCTTATGGCCCCCCCGCGGTGGATGAGATGGGGGTTCAAATGAAGTACCACCAGTGCTGTTGACTTTCCCTTTCCATCTGAGCAATTAGCTTGGGGGTGTGAGAGGAGCTGGATTAAGAGGCTGATGGGGGACGATCGGTTTGATGGCGGTATAGAAACGACATGATGTTTATGAACTATAGATAGATGCATTTTAGACGGGGTTTTAGGTATTTTATGATTGTTAATTTTAAGCAGTTTTCTTCTATACTGTTGAGAATATCTGGGTTCAGTCCAGGTAGAAGGTGCTTGGGGATCACATGATGTGCTGGTGTGGCAGGCACTGCCCGGTGGGCAATAGCACCCACCACAATAGAGTGAGACCTTGACACATGACACGATAGTCAATACAATACGTTGTAGCCACCCCGCCTTGTCCCTCCTCCCACTCGGTTATCCATAGTAGTCATACTACTAGAGGGACCTTGTTCCAATATATACTCTTATTCTTTTGTTATATGCAGCAGCGTGAAGATATCAATCTCGCAACCACAACTACTATACCATTACACTCCAAGCCCCACTTTCATTGCTACTGCATCAACACTTAATACATCCTCCTCACCCTCCCCACATCCTCTATACCCACCACGCCAGCAAAAGCCCTTAACGCATCCCTTGCTCTATCCCACCCAATCGCCATACCAACCTGTCACATAAACTTCCCCTCTAACTCCTCTTCCGTAAGCGGATTCTTAATACTACCTTTCGCATGCTCTATATGTCTTTCCAGCACAGCTCTATTATCAAATGTAAGTCTTACATACGCCTCTGCTCTCGACATAGCATCATCAACTACTACATTAACTTTCTTGCGCAGACGAACAACAGTCTCGTTGCTAATAACGTTATTAGTGAACTAAGCGGGCGTTGCTTAACCGTAGAGTAACGCCACAGCAGCGGCGTAGTAGATGCTAAATTTCGCCTGTGAACTATCCTGCGGCTCCGTCTTCCCCGTTAGGACGAGGACCTCGGGGTTCCCACGCGCGTCCACGGTTTTAATATCGTGAACAAAACAGCCACCGCTGTCTTGCATCTCGCTGCTAAGCTAGATGCAAGCATCGATAGTAGGATGCATAACGATGCCACACGGATACAGTTTCCATGTATTCTTCTCAACCTCCTATACCGTACCTAATTGGTCGAAATACGCGGCTGCGTTTTCCCGTGTGTTGACGACGTGCAGCCAGCCGTACTCTGCCTCGAGTGCTTGAAGAGAAGACGTATACCCGTTCTTTGCGAGTAAGGCTGCTAGCATACCTGTTTGCGCGGCGCGGCCAATATGCAGGGCTTTTGTGTCTGAGCCGAAGAATGCCTGCATGCCGATGACGTGCGTGGACGCGATGCCGATGGCGTGTTGGATCTGTGGTGTGGAGAGGTTGAATAACTTGGCTACGGAGATGGCGGCGCCGATGAAACCGGTGGTGGAGGTGGTGTGCCAGCCGGTGTTGTAGTGTTCCGGGGAGACGGAGAGGCCGAGTTTGCATTCTGCTTCTATGCCGGCGATGAATGCGGTGATGAATGCGGTGATGAATTCGTGGCCGGTTATAGGGCCGTGTGCTTCGGCGATGGCGAGGAGGGCACTGGCGATGGGGCCGGCGGGGTGGATGATGGTTTCCAGGTGGGTGTCGTCGTAGTCGTCGACGTGGCTGGCGATGCCGTTGATGAGGGCCGCGGTTTGGGCGTCGGCGTAACGGAGGGAAATGAAGGAGTTTGAGCTTAGGACGCATGATGTTGGGGGTCCGGAGAATTGGGTTAGGGTCGTATTTAGGGCTATTTGTGGTGCGGGCTGTGAAGTAAAACCTCCAATGGCACATCCAGCCCAGTTATAGAATGATTTGTTAGCGGCTGCAAGAACACTGGGTGTAAGACTGGCGTATGTTAGGTTGGTAGCCCAAGTTGCGAGTTGTAGTGTAGCCATGGTGAACAGTTACTATCACTGCATTGAAAACATGATGAAAGGGTTGGAGAATGCATCATATATAAAGCTTATCTGAAGATGTAAACATTGCCACTGCGGAGTATAGAATTCGGATAAAGAAGAAGATTTCACCAACTAAAGCTTGACAGGACGCCTCCACGTTCTGAGGTTGGACAAGGGATCATCTCACTAGCTAGACCACACATGAAGCTCGGAAAACAAGATCGGACAAGACGTTAGCGCGGTGATCTGCATTGGAGGTTGGGGAAATGGCGGTGTTAGTATTGTCCGGCGACAGAGTTGGCGCCGGCTCGCCTTATTATTAAAATGCAAAAGCCCCTTGAGCGTTCGTGGAGTATAATCGTGATTTGGATAACTTGATAACTGTTGAGAAAGAATGACTCTCTCAGTCATGGCATGTAAGTGTGTCAATTGCTAACTATACAAAGCTCGGCTAATATAGAGCGGTGTGGGTCATGTGACTTAGCGTCCTCGTGACAGGTGACCGGAATATTCTCAACACTCCCCCATAAGCCGATCAGCTGTACCCACTACTTTGTATAGGTCTTGCAGTCGAAGCTTCTTCTCCCTTTATATGCTTCCACTGAACGCCTTGCATGCACTTTCCAACACTCCCCCAGAAGTGCCTTGTCAACAAGAATGAAACCTCCCTGTCACCCTATAGTGGCCGTTACGTTGCGAGTCCCTCAAGTAAAGTGAGGTATCGGCCGAGTGAAGAGTTGAGGAAAGAAGGTCGAGAAAGAAGGTCGAGAGAGAAGGTCGAGAAAGAAGGTCGAGAAAGAAGGTCGAGAAAGAAGGTCGAGAAAGAAGGTCGAGAGAATTTTCGCGTTTGAAAATCAAGGTAGAATCGATATCACCAACATACCGACTCTCCCTCGACTCCTACGTGAGAGTCAGCGCTCCCTCAGCTTGGTACTCCCAGTACTCTAGCTGTGTACGCTCTCCTCTGTCCCAGCGCTCCCCCAGCTTGGTACTCCCAGTACTCTAGCTGTGTACGCTCTCCTCTATCCTAGCGCTCCCCTAGCTTAGTACTCCCAGTACTCTAGCTATGTACGCTCTCCTCTCTTGTTGTCCCCGCTCCGTTCCTCCGCTCCTGCCTCCTTGTCTGTGTCCTATTCAGGGCTCCAGACCCTAACACCCTTATTCTCCCCCATCGTTATATAAGCCTTTGCTTCTTTGCGTTTATTTAACGAAATCCTTTGGAAAGAAGATAAAAATCGATCGAGAAATCGGGTGGGGGTAGGTGGGTAGCGTTCGAGAGAGTAAAAAAACTTCGAGCACCGTCAAACGGTAGGTTTTCGAGTTTAAGGAATTGAAAGTAGCTGTCGAACTGTAGCTACTAGTTTAAAAAGAAGGTCTCGAAAGGTTACTATCGATAGGCAGGCAATTCGAGTTGTTTTCGGAAGAATCGATGGTTACCGTCGGTAGGTAGGTATTCGAATCGTTGTCAAAAGGTTGGTTGAAAAGGGATAGAGCAACCATTGCTCTCTTCGACTCGCGCGTCGGAATTGGGTATAACTCGCCCAAGGTATCTTCGAGACGCTCCCAGCTTCTCCGGACGATAGTCCATTTTTCTTCGGACTTAATACCCTTCGCGGTAGCCAGGGCGACGGCCCAGTGTCTTCAGGACTTAATACCCTTCGCGGCAGCCAGGGCGACGACCCAGTGTCTTAGAATATAGAAGGCGACGACCTCCTGGGTTGTTCTGGCGTAGACACGCATATACCAGCTTGCTGCCCATATCGAAGAAACGACACTCCGGACACTCACAATGCACACGCAAGCGCGTAAGCCGGGCTCATAACCTGTTGAGAAAGAATGACTCTCTCAGTCATGGCATGTAAGTGTGTCAATTGCTAACTATACAAAGCTCGGCTAATATAGAGCGGTGTGGGTCATGTGACTTAGCGTCCTCGTGACAGGTGACCGGAATATTCTCAACAATAACCCAGTTAAGTACATGGCTATATCAGGATAACAACCATGTGGCAAGAACAACATAACGAAGGCATGAGCTCACAAAAGCACGAGACGCAATAGCACCAACAAATAGGGTAATATCACTACAACAGACCTGAATATCCACCCTAAATAACGTTCGCATGCTGCTCAAACGCCTCAGTCTCGGGGTGCGCTGGTATTTTCTGACCCGATGACGATGTGAGCAGCCCTGCGCAGCTGTTCCTGCAATTTGCCTAGTGGAGTAATGCCCGGTATGCTCAGGAACCTAAGTAGGATCATCTATCGAAAGACCGTGGTCGCTGAGGAACCTCGTCATGCTCGTATATGCTGTAAAGGTTGCGAGTGGACTTTGCGCGTTCGACGATTGGGCTATTACGACGCGGGAGTTCAGAGTCTGGTGGCGCGATCATACGCTGTGTTCTTTCTCTGATAATCCTGTTCTTCTTTCGGTAGGAGGCTTCCCAGGAGTTGAGCTCGTGGACCAGCGCTGTGGGGACAGAGTCGGCGTAGACTTCTCGCTTGACGTTGCCCATTCCAAACTTGCAATGTTTCTCGCTGAAGTCCTTGATAGCTTGGCCGAGGACTAGACGAAGCCTTTCGCATATTCGTTCTCCGAGTTGTGTGACCGCTATGTCATCTGATACCAGTCGACAGGCAAGCAACCTCTGGCTCTTTCCAAGTGTCCATTTGCTGTGTAGTAGGATAAGCCCGCGCGTCCAGAGAGAAGTGCTCTTGGCATGTAGCAATGTCTTCTTCCGATTCTCCACCCGACACATGTGTATTCGGAAGGCGAGCAGCTGTTCGAGGAGGTATGCCGGATCAATTCCGAGTTGCCGTGCCGGTTGCATGACGAAGCTGACGATGAAGGCGCGGTCATAGTCACTTAGCAGGCTTTGGCAATTCCTTGCGACGTTTTCGCAGACGTTGTTGACAGCCTCAGAGTACTTGTGTACAATGTGCAACTCGCGCGTAGAGAGGAGACTTGCGCGTTCAGCATGGATGCCTTTGATGAGTAAGGGAGGCCTGCATTCTTGTAGTCCTTGCTGTAGGTTATAGTCTTCGATATGGTAGCTGAATATGAGTATGTCGAGAAGCATGCGAGTGATAGATCGCTGCACGTGGGCAGATCGGGAGGGAGTTGGTAGTCATGACCTCGAGTCACAACTTCCTTGGACCCAGTGGGCATGATTCTTGAGCGA